GCTGGAGTAAGGGGTCTGTGGAGCCAAAGAGTACACGATGGTCACTATCCTGGCCTGATGGCCTCAGAACACAAAGTGCATCATTACCTGTAGAATGAAGTGAAAGACTAAGACTTGTACTGCTCCCCTCAGGAGGAAATGGTGAATGGAGGATGCTTTATCCCTTCCTTGATCGACCATGCCCCGTGAGCACAGTGCATATTCTGGGCTTTGACCTCAGTGATATCACTGAAACTTGATGTTTTTCTCACAGCAGGGTTGCTGATATCAGACACTAGAATTTAAAGTTGAAAATGTAGTATTTTCCATAGATTGTCATCGAATAAGTGATAGTTTTTCTCATTAGCTAATATATGCTAATTTATGTTAATATATGTCCTTAAGATTTGAGTATGCAATGTCCCTTATAGGCTCATGTGTTGACTATTTTGTGGCACCTGCTCAATGAATGCTTCCTAGACATATTTTGGAAGCTGATAAAAACTTTAAGAGGCAAGGCCTGAGGGAAGAAGTATGTTCCCTGGGGGCATGCTTGTGGCTGTTATACCTCATTTCTGGTTACTCTCTTTCATTTCATTCTGCCAGAGGTGAGAACCTGCCTAACCACAAGCTTTGACCACAATGATGTATTGCTGAGCTATATGGAGCCAAGCAACCATGAGATGAAACATGTAATGCTGTAAGCAAAGATAAATATCTCATCCTTTACATTGTTCATGTCAATTATCTTCCACAGCAGGAAAAATAAGTCACCACTACAGAAAGGGTTATAATATGTGGTCATATTTTATAAACCCAATACATGAATTATAAACAAAACCATAAAAATCTACTGTTGTTTGAAATTCACTTTAATAAGACATGGATACAGTTTAATTAAAATATGTAGCAAGTAGAAAAGGGAGGCTATTAACACTTTTGGGGGTAGTGACTCTTAACTGACAGGTGTCAGGACTGTGAAGCTGGGTTAGGAGAGCAAGATGATGTCCATTACCTCCTGTGCTTCTTGGGAGTTCGAGGAAAAAGCACTGTGATGTTGCTGTCTCATTTCTAGAGGTCATTATCTAAACATGAATGAGAGGACTTGGTGCCACAGGTTCTGGTCTAAGGCTGACTTGGATTCCTGCCCACTCATTTACTACATTGAAACTTTAGGCATTTTCTCAAATTCCCAAATGTCCTGAGTGGGGCCAATGCTAGCCATTTTTATAGGTATTGTGAGTTTAAATAAGGTGATCAAAATAACCTCAGAGACAAATAAAAATAGAACTGCATTCAGTTTACAAAGCAAGAAGATAGGGAAATGAACTTTCTCATAAATATATCTAGAAACAAAGTCAAATGTAACTTCCAAAAATTGAAGAAAAACAGTAAATGTTAGTGAGTAAATAAAGTACTATTAAATATTAAATAAAACTTGGAAGTTTCTAGTTCCTGAAAACTGAATTCTAACTAAAGCAGGAGATATTTAGAATTATTTTAACAGGCTACAACAATACCTTAATAAATGACGTTAGGTGTATTTTGATTGTATTTGATATTACTGTGCTTGTATTATGGGTTTTCTGTCTTTGTTAGAGAATCACAGGTAGACGCTCATGCATACCTGTTCATGTGTCATAAACTGCCAACAGGGCAAACACTTGGAGGACCTCTTTATTTCAGTTTTCAAGTTACTGAATCTTTGAGTGGACATTTTCACCCTGATTGACAATATCCCTTAGAAGTCGATAGAATTTATTCAGTTAACAATTAGGCATTTACAATTAGGTTTTTCCTACTTGTTTTTGTGGTAAAGCAAAACCAGCAAATGCTTTACAAATGAGAGTGAAGTTTGACATCGTGGTGAACTGTCAACAGCCATCATCTTTAAACCCTTGGTTCACTGACTTAACATCAGTTTCATAGAAGCCAACTGCACTGCTCAGTCACATTACACAGAAACATGGAGATATGCAGATACACTCAAATTCCTCAAATAAAATCTAGGATATGAAATTTTTATTCAAAAATTGGTATAAACAAGGAAATACCAAAACTGTAAACTTGATCACCATTATTAAAAGTACCACTATGTTTTCATTTGAAGTTTCATTCAGTATTAGAACTTTTACATCAAAGTGGCTTTGTCCTGACTTGCATCAGAACTGGCCATTGATTGTCACATCCAACCTCAACATTACAGCAGTGAGGGATTGATCTGTGGGTGGTCATGGCCTGGATATGTGAAATGTGCTAGAAATCTGGAAAGAAAACAGGCAAGGAGACAACAGTGGGAACTTTGGTTTGATGCACTATTTGAGCCAGTGCTTGATCCACAGGTATAGTGAACTGTATGTAACTCAGTAAAGTAAACTTAACATTGAGTAAGTGATGGTTGCAGAAGTGATTGTCTCATAATGTGAATTAAAAGTGTCTAGAAATAAGAAGAAAACACAAAAAATTAACCATTAGCTATGAACAAACTTTTTTTCATACTAGACTAGATTGAACTGGGACTTTCTGCATATGAGACAATTTGTTTACCATTGGGATACACCCTACCCATTAAATGATACATTTATGTATGTAGAAGTGGAGATAAAAAGCAAGGTTCTTGTGCATGCTAGCCAGGCACACTTCTACTTAGCCATCCACAATCTTTGTTTATGATGTAATTTTTAAAATATGTGCTAAAATGACACCAAATTAGTGCTATGACAGGGACTCAAGATGACATTGCAATTAAGGACTCCAGGACCCTCCTCTCAGCAGCTGTTCCTTTTTCACAGGTGTCCAAAAGGGACAGGGTGAGTTCCTAGCTAAGAGCTGGCAGGTTCCAGGATCTGTCACCTGGGGACTGAGTTCACATCAAATGTTGGTGGCAGGGGCAGGGGTGGGGGAGGTGGCCACATCCACTTCCCTGCCTCCAGTATGGGAATCAGAACCTAGCTAGAGACTTATACTCTGATGCCCCCCTCCCCGAAAGGAATAAGAAGAAACTCATTCTCACATCTGCTGTTTAGATTCTGCTTTCTTTTCTTCAGAACACCCACCATGTTGTCTATGTTGTCTGTCTCTGGTGCTGTGTACTGAACTTTCCTCAAAGGCCCTGTCATGCTGTTCTCAACTGTCTGCCTGTCCACAGCAGTCATAACTTTCCCAATAAATTCCTTACTCCTAGCAGTCCATCTTAGTGTCCTATTGAGCTCCAATTTGAGGCCTTCAGTACTGAAACAGCTTAGAGAAAAACAGTACTTAGAACCCCTTAGAGAAGGCTCTGAGTGCCCAGTATCTACTGCCAACAGGACTGTGTCCTCTCATAGCCCCAGCCTGTTTTTAAAGACAACTCTTCTGAGGGAGCTTGGTGGTTCTGTGCAATTAGGATCCTCCAAACAACCAAGTGAAAACAAGATCCATGCTTAGAAAACTAAAACCTCAGAAACTGGCTTTGCACGAGGAGATGATGTTAGTAGCCTCTGATCTCCCCAAGGCAGGAAGAACCTGGAATGTGATGAACAGATACTACAAGCATGTATTCATTCCATAGTAAGTGACTGCATTGAACATTTCTCACACTGTACTTCTGAGGAAAAGAGTGCAGAATAGATTCATCAAGAAGCTCAGGACACAGGAGATACTGCCAAAGTCTGTTACCAGTCAGACTTGTCTACACTTCTGGTAGTTCCCAGGATCTTGATGAAAGGACATGTACATTACCCTTCCTCCTTACAGAATTTTAGAGGAAATCAAAAAATCTTAAGAAATCTAAAAGTATCTGTTGCCTATTGAAACAGATTTAAAACATTGTTAGTATTTATTAAGTCATTCTTAATGTTTATAATTTTTGTTTTATGTATACTTAAATAGTCTGTATTTAAAATAGCAGATGTTGTTTTTAACAATACTTGTATGAAATTGTGCATTTGTATGTTTTAAACAATATGAACATTAAACATATCTCATTGTTTAAAATAAAAACAAAGAAAAGGAAATCTCTAAATTACTGACATAGTTGAGTGTTTTAGACATTGTTTCCACACAATGCTAAAGAAGCAGAGAGGAGAGTAACTTAAGCATAATGTATTAAACTTTAAAAGATATGAGAATTTATCTCATGGTGTACTTTATCAGACCAGACAATGATACTGTAAATATTCAAATATTACAATTAACATAACCATTGTATGCCTCCACCTGAGGCATATGAGTTCCCTGTAGGCACAGACACTCTGGCCTCTGTATCTTTACATTGTCGCAGCAAACCTGTCACAGGGCCCCAATGCTTCAAGCAAGGCTTCTGAAATGATTGTTCCCGCCTCTCCCTGCAAAGTATGGGAGAGCACAGAAGAATGAACCCAAAGGCAATGACCTATCTTTGTACAACTGCATTCTTTCTGGAGCTACTGTGTGGTTCACATAGGCAGCTAACCATAGATTGGTATTTTAGGAACACATTCATACAACTCACTTATGAGCACAACTTCCTTTTTAACTTGATTAAGTCCCTAATAATTATGAAGTGCAGCAAAGCAAGCCTATTAGAATTTTGGAGAATTGTGGCATTTAAAAAAAAAAACTGTGGTTGAATTGTGAGGTTCAAACAAATCATTTGAACTCATACTGTTCCTATGTTATTATGCAGTTAAAGTTATCTAGCTTATTGTTCAGAACTTCAGCAAAGACTTCTGTCCGCATGGGGAAGAAAAATAAATATCTGAAACAGCTCTCTAGACCTAATCTGCAGGGGAACAGTTTTGATTAAAAGCAATAATAATAACTGTTCAATACTTAGGATATGTCGTGCAGAGAACCTGGTTCTTCCACATTTGTCTTAGGTATAGTATAAGCTATTCTAATGCAGTCTCAGTCACTGTGCTCCAGCACCCAGAAGTGTGCCTGAGACAGTGTGGGGTCCACTGGTTTACATCAAGAATGTCATTCCCCAGACAACACTGTGCTCACTTTCTCTGCAGAAGAATGAGATTTGTTGACATTCTCATAGCATTTATCATTTTTTTCCACTCCAGTAATCCCAGAGCCCATTTTCCATTCTGTAGGAATTCTGTTGCCAAGGAAAATAAGAAAACTGAGCCTCATATATTGCAGTTGTAATTTTCCATGTCTCATGTGGAGAAAAGAAGCAACAGGTATGTACTTACCCCATGTACGTTAGTAGGATAAGTCATTTGTTGGCAAGATGGTAACTGTAGATTACCTTTGTCTTAAAGGAAATCTACTGTTGAATAATGGAAGGACAGATGATGCCTAACAGTCTTTCATATTAACATTTAAGTTTTGGAAAGTTGGAGACAGGTACCTGAGAGTAACTAGCCAATAATACCCCTGAGTATTTTCATGAAATTGATGTACATGCTACTCTACCTAACCCAAATATTCTGGAAAAATCAAGGTAAAATATAAACATATGCAAATGTCTTGGTAATTTTTGTATTTTTTAAGGTATATACTTAACAATGATGAAAATACATCGATTTTCCTTGATTGTCAATCAGTAATAAATTACTGAAATTCTTATGTACCGGCAGGGTTTGGGGGTATAAATTGTGCTTTTTTTAGAAATCTTCATTTTCTAGACTCTAATTTGCTTTATATATAATATCTTACACTGTTATTTTGTAATCCTGTTATGCTACAGCAAAAGATGCACATGAAGAAAACAAATCAGTCCTCATTTTCTTTTGTCTTCCCAAGAGTTTCTGTGTGACAGGTACAGAAATTTAAAGTTTAGAAAAAGATAAATGGAGGGAAATGTTCTCAATGTTTGAAAATAGTTGTTTTAGCTTTTTAAAAGACATATTAAGACCCCGACTGCCTCTCTGACTCCTGAACCAACTGTTGATATCACTCACAAAAAGGGAACTGTTCTCTAGTCTCTGTGCTCCAGTCAGCAACACTTAATGACAGTTTTATTTTTTGTATTCAAATGAAGATAATTTGGGTGATATATGTCTGCAGGAGAGACTTAGTAGCCTTTATTTTCAAGTATTCAAACATAATTGTACAAAGAATAGTTCCCTCACACTGCTCTTGATGCAAAATAGACTTATCATCGCATTTTGTCTGTTATTGAGGACAGATAACCATCTTAGTTAGCAGTATTAAACACTGTGCTGAGTCCTGAGATGTCTGTAGCATATTTTATATTTCAAACATAAACTTGATCAGGAATATGACTTTCTTAACTATTCTCCAGAGAATGCAAAAACTCCCTTTCCTCCAATGTTTGTTTGTTTATAACACTCCAACTTCATGGACACTAAACCAGATATTTCAGACTTCCTCCTGCTCAGAGAATGAATTGATATCATGCTTAGAAAAATAGATACTGGGGATGAAAATGAAATGCACATAAGTGTTTATTTATGGACTACTATGAGAACTGAAAAAGTATGTGCTAAGCAACCCTTATCCTACATTTTTTACAAATGACTAAGAATGAACTAATAAAATAAATGGGTTATTAAAATAAGCCTATTGTGTAAATTAGATTGTGTTTTAAGCATTAGGTACCATAGCATTAGTTAAGTAGCATTTGAACAGGATTTTGATATAAAGCAGTCATTATATTCTGTAGTCCCGTATGGAATGGAGGATTCATGTGCAGGTGTAAAAGATTCCTGGGCTCACTAGCACCCTCTTGTGATGCAGTGAAGGCTAACAAAGATATACCGGTACACAGTGAGGACGGTTGACAACAGCATTTTTTAATATATAAGACTCTAATAGAGGGATTATAGAAACACATTTAATATATAATAGTGAACTTTAGTGTACTTACTGTGAAAATAGCACATTTATTTAGAGAGGGAGTATGCCCAAAGTTCTTATTGATGTTTTGAAATACATCCATTTCTGTCTCTTGCTGTAATTGTTACCAAGAAAAACAAAAGTACCAACCATTTTCCTTGACTCCTTATTCAAAGTCTTCTGGTTTTGATTGATATTTCTCAGAGTCATCTAGAATGTCACATTAGTAAAATATTCTAGAAAAACATGAGAGTTTCTGTATGGTGAAGTCTACATTTGCCTGCACTCATGTCTTGTGCACATGGCTTGCCGTTCAATTCTCCACGTGCCCTCCTCATAAGTACAGTGACATATGGTGCACTCATCAGTCTTCACCTCTCTACCAGCTGGAATGACAGCAGTTTCTGCAAAGCAGTTTGGACCTGAAATACAGAGAAATATCTTAAACTATTGTGTGCATAAATGTATGATGTTTATAATTAGGTAATTAGCCATACACTGTGTTTCATTCATCCTCTTTTGAAGGACAGTTAGAAAAACCATAACAAGAAACACAAACACCAACATTTTTTTCTGAAATGAAACCAATTATTATTTAAAATTTTAGGACTAAAGCGTTACTATTTTTGTAAGTGGTCATTTCATTTGGGGGCTTTTTTAGAAGCCAAGTCTGTAATCATTAGATTTAACTAATATTAAATAATTATTTAAAAAGCACCACCAACCAATAGCTTCAGAAAACGGGGCTCACTCTTCATGGTTGTTTTAGCAGAGAACTTAAACAAGAAGACCGTCACTCCACAACTTTCCCACATGTATTCAACAGTCAGGTGTCAGAGGTCTCAGCCCTTCTGTTCAACTGCGGGCTGCAAGCCTCAACCCAAGTCACTGATTCTTTGAGTTTGGTGTCCAAAGAAGTAAGTTCATAGTGATGATAATGCTTACCTGGCAACCACAGAGCAATATTCCCAGTTACTGCTCAGGGGTATGTCTTCCAGAGTCCTTAAGAACTAAGAATAACTGTAATCCTTGCTAGTAACACCAAGTAAAAGTTTATAAGCAAAAAGGTTTGCCTTCACTGCTTAATTTCAGGATATTAAATCAAAGATACGAAAATGAATATGAAACATGTTTTCAGTGTGAGTTGAAACTAATGTCATTCTCTTAGGTCAGTGGGCACTCGAACACACTCACCCATACACTCACATCCAACACATGAGAATATATGTGGTCTCTTCTCGGTCCTTTGCGTTTTTCTGGTCTTCTACTTAGATACTGCATCTTCTTTTGTTCCTGTTCTTCCTTTCTTCCCTTTATTATTCTTCCTTTTACTATTCCACCCTTTCCTATAGAGACCTCAAAGCTTCAACAGTTACCCCTTTGAGATGATGGTCAAATTATAGATTCATCTTTATTGTCTGTCTTGAGTTCCAGTCTTGTATTTCCAGGAGGCAGCTGCTGTATTGCCTTCCTGACAGCAGATGGTCTTGCTTCAGACAGACATCTACTGACTTTCTGTTAAGGACATTCATGTTTCAGCTTTGCTAAACTTATACTTTAAATCTAAGATCTCTCTGCATCCAGTAGCATTTCTCAAATACCCTTTCCCTCTCTACATATACCCTGCACATGCTCCTTCTCCATTGTTAGATGAGTACTCAAAGGGCCATGGTGCCATATAAGGACTTAACTCAGAAAAGTGTTCCTACCTGGTTACAGTTACCTCCTTTGCCAGATATACAAAGAAGTTGTGTTAATTTCAAACTGCCTTTCACATAATTTCTTCTTTCTACTTACCATCTTCCTTTACAGAATTTAACTTAAAGATATATCCTGCTTCCGATTCATTCTAGTATCAGTGTGATTTGCATAGAAGACATACCACAATTGTTCTGAATGCCTGTATCCTGAGAGTGTTACTCAGAGGACTCCTCTTTTAAAGAAATATGGCACTGCTGTTTAATATGTAGTCTTAAACTAAATAATGTAATTGCTTTGTACGATGGTAGCCTCATTTATAGAAAGGGGAAAATAATGTGCTATGGAGTCTTATCATGTGCTGTATGTATATTTATTCTTAGCTATTCTGAAAATGTCCTTACCTGAATTGCTTTCTGTACCAGTATTACTAGGCTTTCTTGGGCTATTATGATTAATAGTTTTCCTTTTTATATTTATGTTGCTCAGATTTGGATTTTAATTTTTTTTCAACTCAGCACAATTTTATTCTTTGTAATGGTCAAAATTTGGTAGTTGGATTGCCTCAGCCTCAAGCTGTTTTTAAAGTCATTTCTTACTTATCCTACTACTGTAGAATTTTTTTAAAAAGTAAGGAAATTATTTGTTCTTCTTTCACAAAAAGTATGTTTTTCTTTTCATTTTACTTAAAATCTTATCTGTGCTGGGGAGTCCATAATAGAACACAGAAACTGTCTTGTTCTTCATGGTCTCATTGGGTGCATTCATCACTGTATGTTCAAATCTACTCTGCTAATGGACAATGTGAAATTGGTTCCCCTGACAATATGCAATGTATCTGCATTTGGGGGGTGCTATCATCTTATATTTAAGTGAGGAAGAAACAGAAATTATTGGGAATGTATTAGTGAACAGAATACTCATAAAAAAGCAGAAGGTTCATAGAGTACCAACAGTTTATTAAAATAATGAAGAATATACAATCCTAAGGAAGTAACACTTTACATTGTTTCATATAGGAAGGTTTTTCTTTCATACCCTTGTAAATAGAGGATTACACCATTTTTCTTGTCTCCCTTTCATTGTTAAATGAGTTGCTAAGAAAAAAACTGACTGGGTTTCTTGGAGGCTCAATTTCAGGATGCAGTATAATGTGCAGAATCTACAAGCATTTGAGGTGCCAGCTGTCTGTCTCCCAGGGCTGTGATAACAAACAAACAAACAAACAAACAAATTCTTCTTGCTCCGAGCTCTATGGTCATATGCTTTATTAAGTTTTGAGAGACATTTCATATTGACCAGTGTCTTTTGCCTACCTAGTCAGAGAATTGCTCAGATGCGTACCTCATGCATCCACCTGGGTGTGCACTGTCCCCACAGTGTGTTATTGAAGCAGTGTAGATGCACAGTTCAGATACACTGCATTGATACTGACTGCTTTGGCTTGAAAGTGGCTTGAATATGTTCCCTAAAGGTATTTGAAATATGGTTGTCAGTATGGTAATAGTAAAAGGTGGAACTTTTTAACAGGAAATCCCAGTTTCACTTAGGAGTGTGTCCTTGGAAGAAGTTAAAGCTATTGTGGTTGTCAATTCTGATTTTCCAATACAGAAAACAAGACTAAGGAAGCTTTTCTGGCTTTATATCTTGTGTATGTTGCTGGAAGCATGTGGTGTTTACCTGGGACACACAACCTATCCCATCTCCTTGAACTTCTCTAACTAGAAGCTGAATTAAGTTGCCTTTTAATAAAGTAGCCTGCCTTGAGTATTTTGTTATATAAATGAAAAATGGGTTAATATACAGACCTTTAAAACATACATGGATTAGTTTTTTTTCTAATAACTTTTGGGTTGAGTAGAGGGTTATTTAGGTAACTTTTAATTAGAATTATAGGCCATGTTGCTATATTCTTCTGCTTCAGATATTTAATTTATGATACATAAATTAAGAGGTACTGCTCTTGTAGTTTATAAATTATTTTGGATCAAAATCATATAATATGCTTGGTAGATGATAAAATATTACTAAAATTCAAATTTATATTTCAATAGCAGGTTCAAGTTATTGAAATTTTTACAGTTTTAAATTTGAAGAAGCAATGCTATAAGTTAACCAAGCTGTTTATCTTATCGACAATCCTTTAAATATTTGGGTCTGCAAACGTAAATGTACTAAATGTACACTTATTTTCTCTATCAAGCATAATGATTAAAATCTTCAGATTCTATATTTTCTTTATCAAGTATAGTAATTAAAAACTCATAGATCAGAAACCACTGGTGACAAGAACTTTCAGTGTCTGGACATGTAGACTCAAAACATTAGCACCAATCTCCAACAAGACCCATGTACACTTCACTTAGTGTTTCACAATGACTGTATTATATATAGCTATAGAGCAGTATGCAAAGGGAAGTGGCCGTGGAATGATGTATATGTACATCTCTGTTATTTTTATTTATGGAGTTTTGTATAGTCTGTACCAGAGTCAACGTGGATAACTGTTTCCTTATCCCAGAGCTACGTCATGCCTTATGTCACAGTCATGTTCAGTCTCTGCTTCTCACACCACCTTTAAGCACTCAAAAACATTATACTATTTTCCATATCTACAGTTGTATCATGAAAAGAACTTTATAGAAATAGAGTTATATAGCAAGTTAGTCTTTTGAGATTGACTGTACAAACTCAGCACTATGTCTTGGAGATCCCAACTAGTGACTTCATTCCTTCTTATATTTAAGACATACTCTATGGTATGGGTATTCTGCAGTTAAGCCCTATTATCTGTTAAGAACCCACCCTTCTCAAAGTTTTAATCCAGAGTTGTTCCTATCTAAAGGAAATAACGAGAGAAAGAGTGGAACAGAGACTGAAGGAAAAGCCATCCAGAGACTGCCCCACCTGGGGATTCATCCTGTATGTAGCCACCAAACCCAGCCACTATTGCTGATGCTAGGAAGTGCTTGCAGACAGAACTTAGATATGGCTGTCTCCTGAGAGGCTCTGGCAGAGCCTTATTGATACAGATGCGGATGCTTGCAGCCAACCTTCAAACTAAGCATGGGGACCCCCAATGGTAGAGTTAGGGGAAGGACTGAAGGAGCTGAAGGAGTTTGCAATTCCATAGGAAGAACAACAGTATCAACCAACCAGGCACCCAGAGCTCCCAGGGACTAAACCACCAACCAAAGAATACATATGGAGGGACCCATGGCTCCAGCTGCATATGTAGCAGAGGATGGCCTTATTTGGCATCAGTGGGAGGGGATGACCTTGGTCCTGTGAAGGCTTGATGCCTCAGTGTAGGGAAATGCCAGGGTGGTAAGGCAGCAGTGGGTGGTGGGTGGATGGGGGAGCACCCTAATGGAAGCAGGGGAGTGGGATGGGGGTTTTCAGAGGGGGAGAACCAGGAAAGGGGACAACAATTGAAATGTAAATAAATAAAATAACCAATAAAAAATAATAAAAAAGAACCCTTCTGTGATGGTTTAAATATGCATGTCCCAAGGAGTGGCACTATTAGGAGGTGTAGCCTTTTTGGTTGGATATGGCCTTGTTGGAGGAAATTTGTCACTGTGGGGGTAGGGTTTGAGACTCCTCCTCCTAGCCATGTGCCAGCCAGCCCAGTCTTGTGCCTTTAGATGAAGATGTAGAACTTTCAGCTTATTTAGCCCCCCATCTGCCTGGACACTGCCATGTTCCCATCTTGATGATAATG